ATAGTTAGCAGTTTAATGGTTTAGTCCTGACTGCAAGTGTTGGTTTTAGCCATAGCATTTATATAGAAAATTACTTTTTGTACATAGCAGCTTCATGTAGTTACTAATTTTTAAACTACCAATAAAGATACGAGCAAGGCCTCACCTTAATACCAAAAAAAAAAAATATTTACTAAAACTCTACTATTCTTACAAAATACAATAACTATACAATTACTTTTTTCTTGGTCACAACTTAAATTTTTTCAAAACCCATTCTTTATTAAATAATTAACAAATGTTGATATTATCAATTCTCTAAATAATGTTCAAAAATTTTATATATTTTGTTTTAAAATTATTTATAACAATCTACTTACTATGCAAAACCTTAATTTATGATATTCTCTCTTATATACTACTTCAAATTGTGTCTATTATCAAACTTTCAAAACTATATTACATCTTCTTATATGCTCTAAACAAAAATATACCTTTAACAAATTATTCAAACTTTAATTTTAAATACTATTTAATAATTAAATATTTCTTCTGAACTTATAGATAAAATCTATATTATTTTGTTACAATAATTAAATACTTTACTTTAGTCTTACTTTCTTAATCTTATTTAAGGCCTCTTTTTTATATCTAATATGATAATGTTAAAATACTATTTTATAAAACAACATCATTCTTCTTCATAACTCTATCAAATACTTCTCTTAATTGGTTTTACTAATATATATAGCTATTATATAATATTTTTTAACAACAATAGAAAAAAGCTTACAATATAACTAATAAATCTAAATGTTTAAAAATATATTTCTTAGCTCTACCTTCTTAATCTAATTCTAATACTACTAATACACCTACTATAAACCCAACTATATTTATTAATAACTAGTTAATTTTAGGCTACACACTTACTAATTGTATTTACTAAATGCCAAGATTATTACCTTAGATTTCTTTTAATCTTTCTATACTTAAAATTAATTTGAAATAATTAATAATAGTGTTATATAAAAATGAAGATATAATGTTACATTGGGTGTCTTAAATAAGTAGCACAAATGTAGTTTAGAAATCTTTAATATAATTACTTTTATTATCTAATAAAGTTTCTACTTTGACATAACAAAAAAAGAATAATAAGTTCTTATAGTTATTTAACTCTGTAAAATTAGAAAAACAGAAACTTATTTAAAAAATAATCTAAATAAAAAGATAATATAGATCTTTAATAGTACTACTATAAAAACTAGACTTAGAAACAAATACAATTAAAGACATTAAATAGACAAAAACTTTTAAATAAAAATATTACTAACAAAACTAACAGATTTTATAATAGAAAAAAATATTAGACTAAACTTAATATATTAGAAACAAATTATAGTTCTTTTAAGTTATTTAAATTAAAAACCTAAAAACAAAACAAAATATATTAAAATATTAAAAATTGATTGTAAAGTTAATATTGAAGTTTAGATAAACTCTATAAAAATATAATTTTATTAATAGTTTATAAAATAAGTAAGTTAGTTAACAAAAAAGTATCTAAAATCTTACAGTTAGATGACATGTTTTGAATAAGTAACAGCTTAACAAAAGAGACCAAATACTATATTAAATAATACTTAAATATATAGAACTTGATATTACTTATCTGATATACATAATACAAAAACAAAAAGTTTAAATAGATAATATTCTAGCAAATTGCAAATATAACAACTAATGTAAAACCATTGAGTAAACTACTTAAATAAGCAACTAAAAGATGAATAACTAGTTATATGCTTGTCCTTGTACAAGTTATATGTATATATATAATTAAAACTACTATAAAGACAATAACTGTCATAACATTGACTTTAACAAAAAAAACTTTCTACTCAATTATGTAATTAAATACAATTAATGAAAGATAATTAATAAAGAATAGGATATAAGTTTTACTAGTATGTAGTATAAAATTTTGCCTGTATTATTAATTCGTTCGATTAAATTACATAATCTTATTGGCTAATTATTATGAGAAATCACAGATAGATCTATAAAACATAGCCACTTAGATGAATGACTTTCTATGAGTGTATATTTTTAAATGCTTTGGACACTGATTAGTTATAACCGGCTATTAGTTAATAACTGATAGTAGCTGACTAAACTCATCTCTAATTATAACATTTAGATACAATAGCATTATGGTATTTCAATATTATGACACTAATCTATTATATGGATAGGTTAATGAAACAACCAAAATTGAACAGATCAACCAAATTTAGGGTCAAAATAGCCCAAAGATAGGCCAGCATTAAGCAATAATTACAGCCAACTTTACTACAGCAAAATTAAAATCTGAACAGCTTTACTTACAAACTTTTTTCTATGAAATTACTATGTAAAAAACTACATAAATTTAAGTGACATTATATAATTATTCACAAATGTTTTATGCATTCTACAGACCTTCAGCAATACTACACAAAAAACAATATAAATTTATATAAATTGTTAAAGAACTTTATAATTACATAAATTTATATAAATTATTAAAGAACTTTACAATTACATAAATTTATATAAAACAATTATGTAATATTATTATCATCTATGTGATTTCGCATAAATATATGAACCTTCAAAGTTCATAATATAGTGCATAGGCTACTATTTTATTAGAAAATTTTGGTAGAAATATATCAACTCTGGCCCAGATTTTGATCAATCTGCAGAATTGGATGCATCCTGATTTTATCCATACTAGTAAACTATAGTCCAAATCTGAAAAGTTTAGTTTAGTAGTTCATACCGATATGTAGCAGGACTAAAACGATACATAATATATTGTGGTCATTCAATAAGTATCATTTTTGATCCAAAATTTTATTGGCTAAAAAAACAATCTAATGCAATATTGTATGCATATAATATAAGTACTGCATAAATAAAATATATACTATATATATTGTTATATATATTTATATTTATATAAAATATGTTTTTATTTTTAACTGCTATTAAATGAAAGTAATGATTTATATCTGTTAAAATATAAATTTGTTTTTATGAGTAAATATAACCTATATTATTTACTTGGCGATAAATATATGATGTTTGTAAGTTTTAAAAATTTATTGATTCTTTACAAATTGCAAGAATTTATATTGATATTAATAAGAAATGTGACAGTTTCAGACAAGAATTTTGCAATTTTAATCAAATTATACTTATTAAAATTTAATTTTTTTTTTTATTTTAAAACCAATTCTAATTCTAATATTAACTTTAATATTCTAGTTCTACTAGAGTAATTCGTCAAACTTTAATTCAAGTAGTTTAATTGTAAATCGAGACAATTTTAATAAGATATAATATTTATATTATACAGTAGCTTATTAGATAAAAGTGTTACAATTCTTGTAGTTAATATATATTTAATAACTAATATTTACTTTATTCTTCTTTTCTTGCTTCTATACCAAATATTTAATGCATCGTTAAAATTAAATTCTGTTATATCAGTTTCTTCTAATCCGATCATCATCAACATATGTAATGTATCAGGGTTTATAGCATTACGCAATTTAGTCTTAATTAAATTCTGTTTAGAAAAACCATGTTCACATTCTATACTAGAGAAGAAAATTGAATATACTATTGCTAATAATTTACCAATATTCAGATACATGTTAATATGATGTTGAAATAATAAAACAAGTAATTCTTCTGTTGGTAAATGTAAATAATTTTTATAGATTAGTTTTTTAAAATAAAACCATTTTTACATGTATCATTAGGATTAACTATTGCTAGTAGAAATAAAGGAAGTTGAGATTTATTATAAAAATCAAGTAATAATTCTAATTCTTCATTACCAAATTCTAAAATATTTTGACTATTTAATAACTTATCTGATAATCTAAATATTTTCATAGCATTAATAAAAGGATTACATTGAAATTGCTTTTGAATCTCTAAAATTAATATAGAAGTAAAACTTGTAATATCCATCATTAAATTACTTTCTTGATCTAATGTCCAAATAAGTAAATGAGAACTGATTTTTGTATTCTTTTTAGGAGGCATAGAAATAAAAAATTTATTTAGATTAGTACTTAATTTGAGATAATTATTATTAATATTTAAATAATTTTTTGCTAATTTCATAATAGTAGTTTGAATAGTAAGGTATATATTATTAAAATAAAAAAATCAGGTTTGAAAAAATTTAGATAATATTGTAAGTTCAGTAAGAATATCTTGAAGAAAATAAAAAAAAGCTAAAATTTGCCAATTACAAAGATTTGAGTATAAGTTAAAAATAGAATAATGGATTTTTTGATTTTTTGATTCATTAATAGTATGAAGTAATGTGTCAAGTAAAGGTTCAATTGAAAGGCATATATTATTTACTGTTTTATATAGGGAAAACTATCGAATATCAAAAATTTTTGGAATTTTTAATAAAGGCTTATTAAGACTTTCTTGATATGTAAATAAAGTTTGAATTCATTTAGTTGAATTACTAAAAAAAAACATGAATTCTCTTCAATATGGATTTAGCATAAATGCAAGATTCTACTTGTTTTTCAGTAGATTCACATGCTAGTGATAGCCTATGTGCAATACAATGTATAGAAAATATATATGGATTAACTTTAATCATTCATGTTACAACTCCAGAAATATTTCTTCACATTACACTTGCACCATCTGATGTAAGTGAAAAAATTTTATGATCAACTTCTAAATAAATTTAGATTTAATTTTTTAGTTAATAAATAAAAAAATTAATTTTAAAGTTATTTAATAATTATAAACTATATAATAAACTTACTTTTTACAATAAACTGTTTAATTATTGTATTATATATTGATTTTGCATCTTTAGCTTTAATTTCTAATAAGCTTAAAAATCGTATTTTTATAATCCCATTAATAAAATATCTAACATAGATTATAATATGAGATTCCATAGCAATATCGGTACTTTCATCAACTATAATTCCAATAGCTGATGCAAGAGACAATTCTCTCCAGATGTTATTTTCAATTGAAGAAGATATAGAATATAATAGTTCTCAACCACATATATTATTCTCATAAGTAATTGGATGGTTTTCAGAAATCAAATGTGGGGCTTCAATAGCACGGCCAAGATGAGTAAGATGTTTAAATTTATTTAATGGAAGATCATCTTTTGCCATACAATATACTATCTTCATTAAACTTATAATATGTTCTGGCGGCACATTTGTAATTTTATTTTGTTTATATGATTTAGAATGATCTCTCGTTTTCATATGATCTTTTATAGCACTAACTCTAAAGTTTGCAGAGCCTAATTAAATTATTTATTAGAAACTTATTTAAAATATTTTATAATGCGAATTAAATAATTTAAACTTGCCATTTGTTCCAAAAGTATTTTTTTTATTATAAGCACGACATAATGTGCAAAACATCAGATTGTTTTGGGCATCATATTCCAGCCAAGAATACTCATTTTTCCAACTTGGCCGAAAATTTCTTTGAGGTGAGGTTTTGTTAATACTAGTATCTGATGACATATAGTATAATTCAATAATATTGGAAAACGTTTTCTAACCATAACGCTCAAATATATTGATAAATAAACAGTGGTAAAAGCTAAAATTTCTATTCGTCTTTATGTTTATTGTTAAAGACGATCAAATATACTAGTAAATTTGATGTATCAAAAAAGATACTTCAAACAATGGGCAGCGGCGCAGTAAATGACCACCGTATACTATGTGTCGTTTTAGCCCTGATACGTAGTCTATTATGTCATTTTAGCTCATGATGTCATTTGGATTAGTATCTCTATAAATAGTAGCTGATAATCACGCTATATGGCATCCCACTGTTATTAGTAATATATATTTATAATTATGTAATTTATTTGCATATAATACGTATACAGTATATTATCAGATTAATTACGAATATACTAAGTTAGACAGAACGTAGTTTTTTCGGAGAGCAGAAATTAGTTTAATTTGATGATAAATCATTTTCCTGACTAACTTGTATTTTTGAGAACGTAAAAATTACGCAAGTAAAAAATCGTCACAAACAACTTTTCTAGCTTCAAAAGGTGGGTTTATAGATTATAGATATGAGTTTTAATTCTTAGTGGATTTCCGGTTGTTTTAGTAGTGAATGCCCCCACTTTTACTCATTTCTATATGGGGAATGGGCTATGGTGGTCATTCCCTATATGTACATGAGAGTCGCCAAGTGAAAATCCAGAATTCAAAAAATATATAATTATGAATTTCATAATATTATAATCTATTTTTAGAAATCTGGGCTTTTATTTGGCAACACTCATATGAGTGTTCAAGAGCCAAAACCAGAATTTACTGCCTGAAGAATTGAAATCTTACGTAATAAATCAAATACGATCAGTGTTCTGGTCGCTTCGGCAATATAACATATGGGTGTCGCCAAGCAAAAACCAGGACTTCTAAAAATAGGATTCTTTAGACAACGGAATATGAAAAGCAGTTTCGGTATAATTTATTATTCTAATCAAACCGGTTAAAAGTCTGCATTCCGTTATGTAAAGAAGTCTTTTTTAGAAGTCCTGGTTTTCACTTGGCGGAAACCATATCAATACTGGTATTGATATGTTGTAACTGAAGTTGCATTTGACTAAAATTAGCCCTGAAGTTAGATCATCTTGCACGCATTAGTAATTTTGGCATATAATCTGTTTTTATCGATCCTTAAGGTTTTCATTTATAGTAAAAGGTGATATAATAAATGAAAATTGTAATTAAATATTCGTCTAATTAATCGGGGTACCCGATTATCGGATACCTGAGCAGGTAAATCATTATATACTAAATTTTGAGCATATTTTTTAAAAAAGTTATCGAAGATTTTATATTGTTATCAAAATTTTATTTTCTTCACATCATTTTAGTCCAAACATAAAGAATATTTATTATTAATATATACAGTATAATAAACTACTCAATTTCATAATATCTACTAAATTTATTCGCATTAATTATGTAATATGATGATTAATTTCAATATAATATTTAAGTTATCAAGTTTATAAAAGTTTATTATTTACGATATGTTGGAAATGAGTAGATTATTAAGGGGATCTGTTATTTATTCTAAGCATATAAAAGAAATGATTCAAATTCATAAAAATTTTACTATTTAAATCACATTCTATTTGTTACTTGTATAAAAAGAATTTATTATTTAAAATAAGCAATTAAAGTTCATGAAAATTTGTTAATAAATTTCATTCCACTCTTGTTAATTTAAATACATGTCATTAACATTACAATCCAACTTTGCTTGATTTAAAAAAAAATCAAATATAAAAAGTATTTATTAATCTAATATTTATAATAAGCAATTTATACTATTTCAATTAAAAAATTAATATCTGGCCTATATTATAGATTCAAGAATAAATTATATAGGATCTTTAATAGGAAAATGACCTTCTGAGACTATGTTTGATTTTGTGAATAACAATTAAATTTGCTGGCCAAATAGTGATCAATTTTAATAATTTTTTTTTTTTATTTTGTTAAATTCAATAAGTATTACAAAAAACAAATTTATCCAAATTGACTAGGTACTAAATTTAATTTTACTCGCAGATCAACATAGTTTCGGAGTGTCATTTTCTTAACAAAGATCTCATATTTTAAATTTTAAACAAATTTTAGTTATTGTAATGTTGGAAATGGGCTTATTTTTCACATATTCTTAACTGGTTTTAATCGGTTTTAGCCTGTGAAAAATAAAACCGGTTACAAACCTTAAAGTAGCCTTTATTGTTGCAATGTATTTAAATTTTTTTACAAATACAGTAAGTTACCTTATTTAACTATATATTAACTAATACGTACAAACGCTAAATCGCATTTAAAATAGAAACTCTTTTCCATTAATTGATAATTACAAATAATAAACTCTTGATTTTGATTAGAATAAGAGAACAAGGAGTACGTACAGATTCTGACGGAGATACGTATATACGAAATTTTAACCTTAAGTACTTGTTTTTATAAACAACTCATTTTTAATGATTAGATTAGACAATCCTTTTTTCGTGTTAGTGTTAAAAACATAGGAGTATCTAATAAAGTAGTACAGTATAGAAATCCCAATTAGGACGGACGTACTGTTTGTACGGAAAAGAAAAGAACTTTGGCAAACCAATGTTACGTTTCCTACTATCTGTCCTTATCCTAAACAATATTAGCGCTTGCCCTAACAGTAACAATTAAAAATGATTACTTATTAAAATTGAATTTTACAAGTCCATGTTAACCGTGTATGTACGAATGTCCGTCCGAATCTATACTACCGTACAGTACATACTTTATTGAATACCTCTAAAAAATATCTTTGATTTAATGAACTTTCTCTTTATTGATATCATTATTTCCGCACGTGTACCACTTTGTACTCAAGAATGTCAGGTTCAAAGTGTGGAAACCTATGTAATTTCAGGGGTTTTTTTATTTAACGTCAAACAATGAAAAATCCTCAAACTCCGATGAAGTATATGTACGTAGACATATGCATGAGTTAATTGGAACTTGGCTTTATTTAATCTAAAAAGGAAATCTGATTTTAGAAAAGAAGATTCCTTTTTTTCGTTAATGATTGTAATTAGTGTTAGCTTGATTTGGTGCACTAAAGATGCAAATTTCATTGACGCAAAATTTTTATTAATGTAACACATAGCACGTATGTACGTACGTACGCACGTGCCATTATTAAACCAAATAATTTATTGCTTAATGATTTTCAATAAACTAATTAGATTTGTAAAAATCAGGCATAATTTTTTAGAATCTTAACCAAAATTTTAAATGTATTCTATAAAAAAAATTTTTTTTTTGCTACATATGTAGAACTTTATTACAAAACGACCAAAGTTATGATTGTTTAAATAACAATTTTCTTTAAACAAGAAATTTTGCGATAATTACAAGTTATATGATACAAGAATTTAAATAATAATAATTGTTCAAAAAGTTTTTTTTTTTTTAATAAGTGTCTTTTGTTTTTTTTTTGAGATGAAAAGTTGATGATATCAATTAAAATTCATTATAGAACCTTAATATGAGCCATACTCATAATGTCCATTACTTTTTGTTTGTCTTCGACGTTTCCACCAATCAACAATTGCTTTTCGTTTCCAGAATAAAACTGCTGCAATAATAAGTAATAACAGACATAACATAACGATGGCAATAATAACGCCAGTAGAGATTTTTCTTCTTTTTGGTATGCCAGGAGGAACATTGACATAATATGGATCAGTATGAGAATTGATCATTTGATAGGCCATTAAACTTTGAAATGCAGCATTATAATCCATTGCAACCTAAAAAAAAAAAAAAAAATTAATATTTTTAATCAATTAAAAGAATAAAAAGTTAAAAATAATAAATTATAACCTCAGTGTGAGCATAATCACTTCTTGAATCACTAAAATCATCACCCTTATCCGGACCACCTACAATTCCACCATATAAAATATTTAATGTTTGAGGTGGATTATTCATATCAGATCCACCATGAGCACCAGCATGATGAGGATTCTGTGGTGAATTTGGGTGAACACCAATAACATATGGTGTATTAAGAGGATTTTTACCAAGAGTATAATCAATTTGTGATAAAGCAAAATTTATATATTCACGAGACTTAGTATTTGAAGTAGCAATTGGTGAATAAACTAGACTTAGGAAAGCAGCACCAAGAGAAACAGTAAGGGATGCATCATCACTATCACCATCACACCAAAAAAGACCACCATCGGTAAATGTACAATCACCACCTGATGTTTTTATAATAGTATCTAAATATTTTTCTGCCAAAGATTTCCACCTGCTTGAATCTTGACCAGATTGTTGAAATAATTGAGCAAATAATACATAATTTCCACCAGATTTTTCATCCCAATTAAATACTTTTTTTGAAAAAGAATTTGAGTTAAAATAGTTAACTGCTTTGTTAAGATAAGTTGTGTCATTAGTCGCGCGATATAACCAAAGTGCACCCCATACTAATTCATCAGCATAATTGGTAGAACTATAACCCTCTTTAACCAAAGGGGCAGAATTTTGATATAACGTGAAAGGAGTTGTTTCGGCAAAAGCGTATAAATTTTTTGCATATGTTAAAAGTGTATTAGAATAATTTGAATCATTAGACTGAAATAATATAGATGAAGCAGCAAATGCCGCTGCCACTCCTGCCGCGGCATCAGTTCCATGAGAACTGGTGTCCACCTTTGACGATGGACGTGGAGTAGGAATACTATAGAAAAGATAAATAATCGATTATTTTTAAATGTATTGATAATGATTAAAACATTTTTTAAAAATTTTTTCGATAGTAAGATATATACTTTGTATCAGGTCCAAAATAATTATGATCAATGTTCAAGTTACCAACCATAACGTATAGATATTGATATTCTGTACTGTTTGTATTCGAACTAGCTTTTATAAACCAATCAGTTCCCCACTTTACCATATCCATTAAATATTGGGTTTGATTTGCTAATTGATAACCTTGATTCCATTCTAATGCACCCCATGCAATAGTTGTAATAGTCCATGATAATGGGAAAGTAAATTTCACATAATCACCTAATAAATAATGATTGATATAATATTAATATAAGATTAAATTTGTATTATAATATTAATAGAATATTAAATTTGTATTATAATATTAATATAATATTAAATTTGTTTACAATATTAATATAATATTAAAATTATATTATAATATTAATATAATATTAAACCTATATTATAATATTAATATAATATTAAAATTATATTATAATATTAATATAATATTAAAATTATATTACAAGATTAATATAAGATTAAAATTATATTATATTAATATAATATTAATATAATGTAATATATATAAAATCATAAAAACAAATTGATCAATTAATTAATAATTGATTACCTGCATCATAATAACCCTTATATAGCCAATACGAAAAAAATGATTAGCTGTTAGTAAGTAAATCAAAAAATTTACCTTCCATGAAATGACATCTCAAAAGAATATGAACATTTAATGAAAGGAAATATAAATCATAATAATTATAATAATAATAATAATAATAAATAATAAATAATAATAATAATAATAAATTATTAAATAAAAAGAAATAATGATTATGATACATACCCCACTTAAATCAAGGTTAACGTCTTGACCATCATTTAATGCCGAATCATGTCTCCTGAAAAATTATTTTTATATCGTTATCATAAATATTTTTTTAATGATCTAATCATTGTTTTGTAGAAAGAAAATTTACCATGATACCCTGTTGTTTGTAGGTAATTTTCCACTTCTTTGAGCTTCGTAAAAATATAAAGAATAAGCTACTAGTCTTGCATACTCAGGGTTAGGATAAGTATTATTACTCGGTCCCTGTGGTATTCCGGTAATCATTGGAGGTGGTAATGCATAATTATTCGAACTTGTCTGGGCTTGAGTTAATGAAGTTAAAAGTATTAGACTAACGGTTAAGAGGATCAATAAAGTTCCTTTTTGATAATGTATATATAAGATCATGTGGAATTACTTTTAGGAATTTGAGTTTTAAAAAATGTGTTTAAAAAAACGAGAACATTTTGAAGTATTTATTTGTTTCAAAAATATGGAAAGTGACGTAAATAACAGGATTTACTAGATAACATGGGTAAAACGTTTCCCGATATAATGCGCCAATGTGTTTGAAAAGCCCGAATATGTCGTAATTTTAGAAATTAATTTTATTAATGTCAAACAATCCAATTCTATATATAGAAGTAATATTAACGTTTGCATAGTGTAACGGTAATCCATTGCCGACATTGCCCCACTTGAACCTCCCGAATCAGCCCGGCGAATTCAAACACATGAATTTACATATAACAACAGTATAACGATAGTAATAATAATAATAGATATAAGATTCTGTTCCTGTAATCTCTAACCTTAAATTTGTATCATTATATATCTTGTTTGTTTTTATGCTAAGTTTCCTTGCATTATCGGGAACAAATAGCCGGCACTATAGGAATGGGAATGATTGTCGATTGCTGATGAGGTGGCTTCAGATATGAATAGTACATCAAGGCCTTACGCTAATAGTGAGTGTTGAACCTCCCGAAATCAATATAATGGAGAGCTTTTTTATATTGATATCAGTAATCAATACTGAGAGATTATCAGATTTGAAAACATTATTATTATTATAAACTATTAATATAGCAAACACGTACTTGGTAATTAATATTTTTATTTAGAGTTAATCCAACAATTTTATAATACGTAAAATACATATAAAATACTTTTTAGGAAATTTTGGCATTAGAAAAAAAACCTCGGTTTTTTTTGGGCCCGGTGAAAATTATACATCATAAAATATTCAAAATTTCTGATCATATACAATTAAAAAATATTTATTGTTAAAACTTTGAAGTTTTAACAACTTTAAAATTTTAGATTGATTTATTATGTAAATATTGTAAATTGAATTGTAAATTTATTTTACATTGTCCTTTTCTATTTAATTTTAAAGTCAAATTTACAAAGTTTATATGATTTACATATGAAATTTTGAATTGTAAACTTCGTAATTTAAAAAAAAGGATCAATCCAATTTGGTTAAACCGATGAAACTTATATATGAGTGACGGTCAGTGAAAACCTGTAAATCATGCTTTCTGAATATTTACTTTTAATAAAAATACCTTGAAAAATAAAGTAATTGAATACTTATGATTTTAATGTTATTTGAATCATCTCATTAATGCGATTAAAATGATATTAAAAATAATAATTGCTACTTTTATATATTATATAAATTTGAATTTTTTATGCTTTATTATAAAAAAAAACTATCGGGGCGTACGTAAAATCAGTTTTTAAATAAGTAAAAAAAGTAAATGCCAAGCCCCTGGTCATTATGCACATTATTTATTAACGATCAATATATCGATCAACATCAATGCCCAACTCCGGTACCACTTTTAGTAAGGTGATCTGTTACTTGCAATATCTTGCTTCTTCAACAAATATCCTGTGAAAAGAAACTTGAACTTCTCCTATTTCAACTATCCCGAGATCTTATGCAAATCCACACTTTATTAATGAATCTGCCTCCAATTGAAAGGTTGATATGAAAATATATTTATGAATATGTTTATGATATTTATGATATTTATAAATTGTTATCAAAACCAAATTAGGTTGATACGTAATGCGTATTAGGTTATAAAGATAATTATTAATTTTTTTGCTAAATTTTATTAAGATAATCTTTATAAAGGCCAAGTAATATTTTGATTAGAATATTTTTACTTCAAAGTGCAAAATCAACTAGTATAATAAATTTTTTAAAATTTTAAATTATAATCAAAAGTCAAATTCTTCAAATATAAAAATTAATTTTTATTTGATCAACTTAAATCGGCTAAAATATTTGATTTAATTTAAAATTTTTTTTTAAAAAAAAACTAATTAAGAGTCAAGATATTTTTATCACAATTTGATATATACATTTATGTGTTTTTTCATATAGAATTTGAAAGTATGTACATAGTATTGATCATAAAATTTTTTTTTGAGAATTAATGTCGCTTTCATGTGATATAGTAATGTAGTAACAGATTAACTACAATGAAAAAAAAATTGTTATAAATCGAATGCCCAATATTGATGCTATTGATGCTATCTACAGGGTTGTATGTGGTGATGGGCAAATCACAGATTTTTAAAAAATCCGCGCGGGATTCGCGGAATATATTAAAGTTTTTTAATTTTTCATGAATTATAAAAATATATATAAAGATAATCAGTAGAAATATAATTTCTTGTTAAAAT